GCACTCTAGTGCCGAATTGTAGCCAAAAAAAGAGCCAAAAAATGCTTTTTCTAGATTTGCGGGAATTACTGTTGTATGCCTCCTATAGGGTAGAGCCGTCGGGAGACGCCAAGGGGGTGGAGGGAAGAGATGTCAGATTTTTCGAGTTAAAGATATTTTTGAGTGAGCATGCGCGCCTGCCAAAATGTTATTGGTTCTCGAAGTGTAGCTGAAATATCGCCTCCCGGTGCAAATGGCATGTACGAACACCGAATGTATAATCGAATATCGAAAAACGATATTATTTGTAATTCCTAATCGTTCACGCCCTACTCGAGTCTCGGTGAAAATATTCATAGTTATGTGATATCCGTTATATTATAGAAATCTTCAATAATACCCGGTTAACCATACATGTGCAATAAGTGATTGTGTGTGTACATGAAAGAATAGGCTTGTTAGGTAACACGTACACTATGTAACTATTATCTAAGCCACCTGTGATCGAATCGAAGTATCTCAACTGATGTTTACGTGTTGCGTATGTTTGTTTGTGTTATTTACGTTTTGTTACATGTTTTGCGTGGCACTTAACTTAAAAGATGTTATATCATATTATCTTTACCCTAACTTATCTTTAACATTAGATAATTCACATATGACTAGATTTGCTACATTACAATTCGGTACAGGATTGTCCTAAAATTGTAAGAAATTTTTTATCCGATTTAATTACTTTTTACTATTAATTATCATACTTATTCCTAAGGTTAGTAAAAACATAATTTACATTTATATTATGTTATACAAAAATGCTACTTTTTCAGTTTTTCTGACCACCTCCTTTGTAACGAAATATATATGATTCTAAGCACTTTTTGAATATTTTTAGCGTTAAAAAATATTTGCTGTATAGTTGACGTCGGAGTTGCAGTGTTTCTCGATTGTGGCTAGGTTTGCTCAAGTTATGATAGTAATTAGGCTAGCTCGGGGGGTGGGGGCAAGTGGCTGTATAAGACACTTCATCACTGTATAAGTGATATCGGAAAGTTCAGCTGTGTTATTTAGGTCATAGAAAAATGAGGTATAAAATGCTGAGGCGCGCTTAGGAAAGTACATAATTAACGTAAACACTCGTGCGTTTTTAGTTTTTACATTAACACAAACATTGCAAAATATCCCAAATGACCACAATCATATACGTAAATGTTTCTGTAAACAGAAACGCACCTGTGAATTGAATTACGATGTTAGTGAAGAGATTATTATAGATCAAAAACGTAGACTAGTACTATCGTAACCATGTTATATATAGGCAACGTATACCCCCTCTTATCTGATCGGGGACTTTTACCCCCTCTTGGCGGCGGGGACTTTTCGATATGGCTTTTTACTAAAAATGACAGAAATAGGCGGTTCCCCAGTAATTCATCATTTGCGTGTTCATTCGACGATGAATATATATTTTATGGCAGCCTTAGCGAGGTGGAAATATAGACGCGTTGTAATGTTCTTTAAATGGGGTGAAATAGAAGTGTGCATGTTGATTGATTAATAGTTAATAAATTTAAGTTACCACCGTTTAATGCAATTACGCTATAAAATCAACATCTAATGTTTAGATGGTATTTCGTTTTTGCCCAAAAAAGTTAAATGTGTTTATAATATATAAATATATACACATGTATTTAATTTTAGCCTTAGATAAGTGTAAAGTCACGTACCTGTTTGTGACATAAAGGCGAAACATAGCGTAGACAGTTGTATAAGATATTGTAGAAGTTAGTGAGCTTATACCCGAAGCTTGGAACAAATGCATACCCCGTACAGGCTGCAACATTTGATTCTATCTCAAACTAGTCAAGGCCAGACCTGGGCCAGCTGCGCGCTCAATCGCAGCGTACAGACACAACCGGGCTCAACAGGGCTAAGTTAGCACGGCTTGACTGCGCATGCTCAGTTTAGCTTGTTACGTCACTCAGCAGACAGCAATGACGTAACAACGGTACCCCTGATAGAATTATTAGGATTTATACTGCATTATTGTAATAGCAGAAGAAGAAGAACATTAACAGTTGATAAAATAGGCAGCAGAAGCTGCAACCTGCGTATAATCGAATCTGTGTATCCGATTATAATTCAATTGAGCACTTTTTATTAGCCATGGAAGTGTAAACATGCATATTCCTATGTCTGCTTTCCCATACATTCTGGATAGATCCTTCTGGCCATGCAAGTTGTAATTAGACTCGAGCGAAGTGAAGATCAAAAACAAAATTTCAGACACAATTCTGTCTGTCGTCTTCTTCTGCGTCTATACGCAGGCGATTTAGCGCGCGCATGGCCCAGGCCATGATGTGGGATCATACCTGTTTGATGTAGGATCAAATTTTGCCATCTGCACGGGGTAAGAGTATGCTAGCCGGAATATCGTTTTGCGTAATTCGCGTCGTTTCTCGAGGAAACGAGGTTATTTCCACACTGATTCTGCATAGTGCGGGTTTTCTTCGAGTAGGCGCGGCTATAGTTGTAGCTGAGTATTTATCGTCATTTAATATTGCACCTAAATCTGTTACACTAATATGCCAACATCATTGCGAAGAAATGGCGTATATAGGCGCATCCAAGTAGTAATGCACTGTTATATTGAATATAGACTGGAATAGAAACGAATTTAGACTTTCACGCAACGACTAAACAATGATCCAACAGTGAGCAGAATTTAACAAAAACGGAAACAGGTATGCGTGTACCAAAGTTACTTTTAATTTAATATAAGATTTTTGTTGACTTGCGACACGACTTTGAGAGATGAGCGAAGTTTCGGTAATGATGGGTTTTTGTTGACATCTTTGTTTTTCTCGGCGTTTCCAGGATCAAAAGCAGAAACGAGCATTTAGCTTAGGTAGAATAAGTTTTATGGTGTGTAATATATAGTAGATAGTTCTCCTTATAAATGTACCATCTTCCATGATAGTCCTCCGCTCCGTAGATATCAATATATATACGTGTATGGTTTCGTTAACTCTATATCAAATCAGTTATCATGTTATACTGAATGTTTATTATTAAACAAAACTGTACACGAAAAATATCTGGAATTACTGTTTATTTGATATTAAAAAACTTCGTCAGACAAACAGCTAGATTCACAATTTAATCAACTTCACAAAACGTTCATAATCAATATACCGATCGAGCCGCCCACGCACGCACGCACGCACTCACTCACGCACGCACGCACGCACGCACGCACACACACATACACACACACACACACACAGACATGCACACACACACACACACACACACACACACACACACACACACACACACACACACACACACACACACACAC